CTCTGGTAACTTTGCCTGTGGAGGGAAGGTGTGACAAAGGGGCATCCTTACCATTGCTGTCTTCCATCAGCTTGCCTCTCCATCCAGCGCTAAGATCCTCAGCACTAATATAGGAAGGGTCTCTACTGTTGTAAGTACTGCTGAAGCTAAAATCTCTGATGCATTCTTATATGGTAGAAAGGACTGGGGTAAGAAAAAGAGCAACGACACTGCCTGAAAGCCTCTTCCTGCAGTTGTTGTCACTACCCAGGTTACACAGGTGGCAGTACTGCTTTCTCCTAGCATGCCTTCCATAAATTCTGGGGGTACCAGTTCTCCAGTTGCTGGGTCATATGGCCAGGGAACTGCAGCTCTTCTTGATCTTCCAGCATCACCATCAGCTGTAGCTCCAACACTTCAACCATTGCCTCTTCCCACATGTGTAGCAGTCTTTTCCACCCGAACCAGGAACCGTAGTCTCTCCTCTCTCCTACTGGCCATCTTTCCTCGCATTAAAATCTACATCCCAGCAAAGGTGGAACAGTAGGGTCCACTACACCACAGTTCCAGCCTTGGAGAGATATGGAATGCTATCTTTGTTCTGTCACTGGAGACAGCTGCTAAAAAGTTCCTGGAAGGAGACATCTTGCTGTGGAATGCCATGAGATCATCTCATTAGCCTCCTCCTGGTACTAACCAAGAGGATTATATATGAGATTAGATGGGTGAGACTCTGTAATGGGTTTCTTTAGCTCTTTGGTCTATTTCTTTTCCCTTGTTACCTCATTATCTAGTCAGATTTCCTTTGGGTGGCATCCACCAGTTCCTGAATGCCTTTGAGAAACTGTGTCCTGTCCCAAGTTGTCTTCAATGTTCTCTTCATTTGCTTGCTTATGAAAATATGACTGCACTTCTGCTCCTGTTTTCTTGTTCTTTATTACCTACCTTTCCAGCACAATGGGGCAGACCTTTAGTTTTGGTCTACTTTAGAATTATTCTAAGTAGGTTCTCACTTTTCAGCATGTTGCAACAAATGAGTTGGGGGATGAGTGGAAAAATATTAATTGATCATGGAATTAAAAGATTTTCCCCATGCCTTAATTAAGGCTGCCCAAGTATTTCTGGCAATTCAGAAGTGTTTGTGTGTGCATTCTGAATAAACTTGTAATATAATTGTTTGTGTGGAATTTTAAAAACATTTTTTTTAAAAGAAACAAAAAACATTTCATTGTGTAATGATATGTTGGCATCCACATACATCTCCTTCAAGACTGAAACCTTTACATTTACCACAGTGAACTCATTCACTTGTGCTAATAGAGTAACTGGTAACAACATTAAGTTGTCATTTTCTTTGTAGACCAGAACTAGTAGAGGATGAGAGAGAGACTTCACCATTGGCTAAAAGTAGAAGAATGGTGTGACTCTAAAATTATGCATTTCATTCCATGTTCAAGATGAAATATTATACCCACTTCAGTCAACCATGTCTCTTTCTGACCCCATCCCTTCAACTTGTACCTCTCTGAGGTTCACACTACATGTTACAGTTATTATGCAAATAACAGACCAGCTGCATGTGCGAAGTACCTATCACACTATTAAAAGCTCCAACCACCTATAAAGTTAGGCCTTGAAAATGTGTACAGGCAACCCCTGTGTAACACTGTTTCACTTGGTGCTATTTCACTATAACGCTCATTTTAAATTGATACCTGATTTCACTTAGTGCTCAGTGAGTTGCGTTAACAACACTCGCAGTCACCATCTTGGGTCATTAAAAACATTTGCGGTTGCCATCTTGGGTCATCAAATACTTTCAGGTTCACTTAATTCTTGTTTTTTCAGGAACCAATTAAGAGACTTAAGTGGAGGTTGCCTGTTACTAATGTTATAGCTGGTTGCTATCCAGCTTTAATTTGCACATGTAGTAAGGAATACATTGCCTGATAGCAATCTGCTGGTCCTCCAGCATCCCAGGGCACATTGTTCCATCTCCAGTATAAATTCTGAAAGCCCTGTGTTTGCTGCTGTCTTGGAGACTGGGGTGTGGTGTGGCCAGGCAGGGTATCCCCATCTCCCTGCACTGTGTGGAGAAGTGAGGGGGGAGACTTCCCCTCCTTGCCCCCCCCCCATCTTGCTGCTTCCCCGGAGACTTGGGTTCTGTTCTGGCTGGGGAGGGTGCCCCTGGCTCTCTGCATGGGTGGAAGGAGGTGTGTATATAGGGGGATCACTTCCCTCCCATGCCCCCCCCCCAGCTTGCTGCTGTTCACAAGACTGGGCTGGGTTGTACTGTGGGTAGCCAGCATGTGCCCAGCTCCCTGTGCTTGTTTGAGGAAGTGGGGAGTATTTCTTTTCCCTGCCCCCTGCTTGCTGCTACCCAAGATACCCAGTCTGCACTGTGGCCAGGCAGTGTGTCTCTGGCTCCCTGCATGCATGGGGGAAGGAGGAAAGGATTCCATGCCTCCATCCCACTTGCTGCTGCTGACCTGGGCTCTGTTCCAGGCAGGTAGGGTGTCTCCAGTGCCATGGATATGTGGGATGAAGTAGGGAGAGGATTTCCACTCCTCCCCCCTCCCCTGCCCAGCTTGCTTCCTGGGGAGACACCAGAGGTTCAGGGGGATGACTCCTTAGTACAGGGGCAGGCAAAATACAGCCCATGGGCCAGATCTGGCCTGCCAGGCCATTCTGTCTGGCCTTCAGGGCCCCTAAAAAATTTAGAAAATTAATATTTATCTGCTCCTGGCTGTCTGTCAAGGATGACAGGAGCCAGGGGCAGTAGGATCCAGGAGAAGCCAGCAGGACCCAGCAGCCCAGCTCCATCCCACCCAGAAACCTCTGCCTAGTAGAGGCTTATAGCCTGAGACCATGGGGATGCCTCCCTGTCCTCTCTTCACCCCTCATGCTTGTCTTGTCCCTTTGTTCTTCTCTTCTCACAACTAGTTTGTGATCTCAGTCTTTTTGTCCAAATGTTACACTAAATTTTAACTGTGGATGAGAGGAGATTGCTGACCAGTGAGACCATTCCAGTCACACCTCAAAAGCTTTATTAGGATACGCAATAGCAATTGCTGATGTAGCCTTGGATTCGGGGAAGAAATGGGTCTGCTGGCCAGGCTTCTCTGTTCCCCTGGGGACTACAGCTGGTGTGCTGAACTTCAGAGAAGTCCAAGGTTTTTTTTTAGCCTATGTCCAGTATTTATAATTGGCCCTTTCATATTCTAATAAATGGTCTCAGAATGGTTTTATTTAAATACATTTGTTTTACTGTAACTTTTAGAACCAGACTCAACTCTCATCACCTCGGAGGGCTTGGGAAAAGTTCAAAGGGATGACTTCTTCTCTTTTCTTAACACTGACTTAGTTACTTCTTTGCTCTAGTTTATGGTCTTCTGACAAGGTTGTTTTGTTTCTACAAATCATCTAAGCATTTTATTAAAAATACATATATTATAGCAAAATAACATTTTTAATACATTTGCTCACACACTGCTTGTAATATTTTATGTTAAAGCTAGAATATAATATACTGGTTAATTATGTTTTGTTAGACCTGTTGATGGCGTTTATGAGACATACTTTGCCAGTAAGTTTCACAGATATTTGCTAAATCTAGAAAAATAGTAATACTCAGGGATCTTGAGTTCTACTCCTGGTTCGTGAGGGTGTTGTTCTTGTGGGCATGGGTTCTCTTGGCCTACTTTTCTCCAAACTTCACCCCACCTCCCCAACCCTCTTCAGGCTGTTCCAGGATTGTCTCTTCCCCACCACTTGGTCATTTTCCTCACCTATCTAAACCGTCTCCATTTATAGACTTCTGCCCCAGTCACAGTTTCTCTGCCCAATAAGTCCCTTGTCACTAACCCCAAACTTCCCTCCCACCCCAACTTCTGCTTCCATCTCCTTGCCTTGTCATTCACAATCTTCTTTCCCAGCCTGTTCCAGTTCTCTACAGATCCCAACTACAGTATCATGTTTCTTTTACTTGGTGGCCTACAATTATCACTTTCATACTATGTTTCCTGTTCCCACAGGCTTTCAGTTCGTCTTCTTCTCTAGACTTCTCAGCTGATATCATGGTTCCTTTTCCTAGTTTCTTTACCCAGCCAAGTCCATTTCTCCCCCTGCACCACTAGTCAATTTTATCTTCCCCTCATCCTCTTGGGTTACCAGTTTTTTGTTCTCTTTACATTTCCTTCAAGGCTCTTAGACACAATCCTTGTTTCCATACCTAACTCCCAGACTAATCCCTTGGTCTATCCTATTCTATCCTATCCTAATGTCTACCTAATGCCTATCTTCCATTCCCAGTCTCTAACCTCCAGGCTGTATATCTCTGTCTGCTCCCCTGGTCTTTCCTTACAATCCTTTGTGGCTGGCTGAGGTTCCCCTGCATTTGATTTGGGAAGCTTCCTCCTCTGTGCTGTCTATTTGCCAACAAGGGGATTCAGGATGCCTATTCTCAATGTTAGTGCTTGCTCCTGTGATTCAGAACAGCCAGAATCTGACACTATAAGAAAAGTCTGGGTTCACCCCTGCAGTCCATGTAGGAGGTGTATGAAGTTTGAGCATACTTAGTGTGGATGGAATCCTTGGATATTTTACCTGTTAAGATCTAGCAACTCTTCACTGAACATGTTTAAACTCCTGCCCTCCCTCCCTCAGAGGCTTGTAATTTGCCCAGATAAGGCAGATTTTGATTGGGACAGCAAAAGGACATCAGGTTTTCCTCCCCAATACTGAATGTCTATTTTTTCTAGCTTTGTTTTGTTCAAAGGCTGAACCATTTTGGCTTTAATTTTCCAGAAGAATACAGCTTGAGGGATGCTTAGCATGGAACATTTCAACTTAAAGGTTTAAAGTTTGGTTAAGTTGTAAGCAGGTGAAAACAGTAATATAAAATTTAGGGCAACCTTAATAGCAGGCAGTGTTATCATGTCTATCTATAATATGACTATTTAATCTCTTGCTGTTCTTCTGAAATGCATTGAAATCTCCATTTCCCCTCTTTTTTTTTAAAGCCTATGGAAAAGTGTTCTTAGTGAGGAAAGTAAGTGGCCATGACGCTGGAAAGCTTTATGCCATGAAAGTATTGAAAAAAGCAACAATAGTTCAAAAAGCCAAAACAACTGAGCATACAAGGACGGAACGACAGGTACTGGAACATATTAGGCAATCGCCATTTTTGGTCACATTGCACTATGCTTTCCAGACAGACACAAAGCTTCATCTCATTTTAGGTAAGTGTTTTCCTTGATTCAGTCTCTCTATTGATGATTTTTTATATTATTTATTAACATTCTATAGTTTTTTGGTGTTGTCTTGTGCTTTTGTTGGTTACATATTTGAGAAGTAATATGCAAAATAGTGTATCATTTTGCTTCCCTCTAATGGCGGTTTTTTTGAACTTTAATAATTTGTTCATTTTATTTCTTTAATTATGAATGACTCTCACATGGCATAATTTCTTATGATCACAAGAAATAAGTATAGATGTAAAAATAAGATATATTTTTGAACAGTTGGAATTTTGGATCATTTCTTGATCTTGACCCAGGATTGGATTTCATTTTTTTTTTTTCCCTGCAAAATTTAGGATTTTTTTTCTTCTGTTTTCATCAATATTTGGGAAGGAGCTATTACTTACATGAATTATATCCACATGTAAATACCATAGTCACAGACGAAAAGCTCATTTGGCACCACATTTGTAGGTTTGGGACTGAAGATTATAAGAATCGGGGGGGAATTTATTAAATCATGATAATGTTGTCTTGAGCAGCGGGTAAGAGGGAAGTGGAACTGAGAAGCAGCAGAAAGTCTCCTTGTTTGGAGTAACATATGTTTAAACCTAAGAACACACAACAAAGTGTCTGCGTTGTCATGAGACTTTGGAACGTGAGGGTATCTTTTCATAAAGACAGTCTCCTCTGCATTGGCCAGATGTTTATCCACAATTCAAATACTGTAAAGATATGGACTCATTTTAATGGATACAGATATTTGTAGGTAAGCTATAAAAGGGTGGAAGACACCCCACGGTGTTTATACACGTGCTTTGGGAGTGTGTGTGGGGGGGTGCTTTGATTAGAGTGGCCCCAGGAGCCACTCTAATTAAAGCTCCTAGAATACCTTGTGTATCAGTGTCCCTGTGCTTCAAAATGGCAGCAGGAGTGCTTTATCTAAAGTTCATCAAACGCGCTTTAGATAAAGCCCTCCCTTTGCCATTTTGAAGTTCAGGGACAGTGATACATGACACATGAGAGGCTGTTGGAGCTTGGTAATTGCCATGCTCCAGCACTCTATTAATTGAGTCTGCTCTGATGTGCTGGATTTAGAGCTTATTGGAGCAGCCTCCCTGCTTGTGTACTATATAGGCACTGTCCTAAACTAACTTGATCAGACAGTCATGAGCTTTTGTAGGCCAGAGAAAGGAATTAGACAACTTAAAAGAAGATGGGTCCCTTCTACACATGCAGGTAAAGATGCAGTGGGATCTAATGTGTGATCCACACAGTTGTGCCTCTTGCTATGCTACATGCGTGTGGCAGGTGGTGCGATTGTGGGATTGCACATTAGATCCCATTGCACTTTTATTAGTGGTGCAGGGGAGCTTGATCCCAGGCTTTCCCTGAACCAGCAAGAAGCAAGCTTCCATGGCTGGGAGCCCCACGTACCCTACTTGAGGGGTTTCCAGCTGGAGAGGTCCCTACACACCCTCAGGGCAGGGGGAACGTGATCCCCCCTACTCAAGTGTGTATAAAACCCCTGGGATGGGGAGATCACCACTGCAGCAATACCACCAGCCTCAGGGAAACCCCTGGGGCACCCACACCCCTAGGGCAGCAGGATCACTGTAGCAATAATCCTCTGGCTCTGAGGGTTTCCCATACCTCTGGACTGGGGGAAAATCACCCTGTAGCTACCCTCTGGACCCAGGGTTTTCCACACCTGTGAGCCCTGGGGATGGTGGCAGCTGCAGCCTCCAGGGTCCAGGGATTTCATGCTGGGCAAAGTGAACCCCTATGGTTGGAAGCCCTGTCAGCTGATGGGACTCTCAGCTGCAAGGGAGACCCTGCTACATGTTTAAATTAAAGCTTGATAGCAACCAACTATAGAGTTAATGCACTTTTTTTGAGGTCTAACTTTGTAGCTGGTTGGAGCTTTTTTATTGTGTGATAGCTACTTTGCACGTGTAGCTGGTCTCCAGATAATTGCACAACTAACCAGGTAATTGTGCAATACCCATACTGTGTAGAGAGGACCAGGACCTAGGGTGCTTCCCCTACCCTGCCTTCTCTCTAATTATTAAAAAAGTTATCCATTACTTCTAGTCTGTGTTTTCTGTCTCTAAGGCAGTTTCTAACCTGTGACTTCAAACCATATCACTATTTAATTTTTTTCAATAGGTTGTTATGAGGGCAATATAATGAAATGCTGTATATTTATACTAGCATCTCACTAAATTCTTAGGTTTCAGAACTCTTTAGGTACATGCCATTTGGGTCTGATTTCTTTAATATATCATTTTTTTGCAGCACTCTGAGACTGCCATCTTTGTCAGTCGTCTTTTTATTTATTTATTTATCTATCAGAAAACAATAAGAAAAAAATAAGGTACCTCCCCAGTATACTCTGCTATGAAGACCTACACAATAAGTTTATGCCTCTCTGAACCAGTTATTCTCTAAAGTGCTACTCTCCCCTTTCTGCCCCTAACGTCAAACTAACATGGCTAACTACTAGAGCTGTGCAAAATCAACAGGTGTTTTGTTTCCATGCATTTTTGAGCTCAAAATGCAGCAAAATCCAAATGAAACAAAAGCATTTGAAAAAGCTTTGAAGTGAAATGGAAGCACTTGAAGTGTTTCAAGTTTTAAAGCAGCCTGGTGGTGGGAGGCAGGGGGGAGTCAGGGCTGCTCTGAGTGACTCCGCCAGCCCCACAGAGCTCAGCCTGCTAGGAGGAGAGCCAGTGGTGGAGTCGCTTCAAGCGCAGCGCTGGCCAGTGGCTCTCCACAGGGCTGTGGAGCCTGCTGCCACTGGGCTCTGCTCACCAGGGCTGTGCTCTGAGTGGCTTTGCCACTGGCTCTCCTGCTGGCAGGCTGAGCTCCATGGAGCTGGTACAGCCACTCAGAGTGCAGCCCAGCGGCAGGAGGTGGGGTGACGCAGGGCTGTGCTCCAAGCGGCTCTGCCAGCCTCGCGGACCTCAACCTGCCTTCCCAGCAGTGCCGGACTCCTCCCAGGGGCCCCAGATCTGCATGTGGGATGACAGGCCGCTGCGGCTGCCTAGGGCCAGTGGCAGCAGCAGTCTTCCTGGTGGTGGGTGTGAGCTACGGCCAGTGCTGATCTCAGGCAGCAGCGGAAGCCTCCTGTCATCCTGTGCACTGATCCGAGGGCTTGCACCCCCAGGAGGAGTCCAGCACAGCCCCACATCCCTCCTGGGAGTGTGGGCCCCCAGATCTGCATGTGGGATGACATCAGGCTGCTGCTGCCAGCAAGTGATAAAAGTTTTGCTTTCGACAACTTGAGGTGCAGTTTCCCAGAAAGTCCTGCACCCATCTCCTTGAAACTTGGCAAGCTTTATTTTCTCAGAATGGGCTACCGTCCCTCCAATAGTCATCTGAATCAGGCAATAAATGACAAAATTATAGGCATTTTCATGATTCCCCATTATAGTCTATGGACGAAACAGCAAAACAGTTTTGATAAAATGAAACGGAACAGTGCTTCGAAACGATACGATGAAACAAAACAGTTCTGTTTCGCACAGCCCTACTAACTATCTCCCCCTACTTTTTAATAATTAAAAAGGTTAACAACAGTATCCCTGAAATACCATATTAGGGCTAGTGATGTTTAAATGACCAAAAAAAGCATGAAATGTTCAGATTCAGGTTATTTAGAGTAGTTTTTAAGATAATTTAAGGAAGAAGGAAACAGTTTTACAAAACTGATATATTAATATTTAATTTGAGTTTTCCAACTGTATAACTCTACTGTTTCTCCATTCCTGTTTGTCTTTTGGTTTCCTTCTCTAGCAGATAACTGTAAAATTGGAGAGAGAGAGAGAGAATTGAATACATGCATTTATTTATATAGATGCCTTCGATCCTCAGAAAGTTCTTTAAGGCAGTAGTTTCTTAAGAATATCACTCAGATCTGGTTGGCATCAGGATCCATGAATGCACAAATCCATGAATCTATCTGCAGAAGTAGTATTTTCAAAAACACTCCAGTGTTAATTATGTTGGATCAGAGTTGTTACTCTTCAGGTGTAGAACTTGGAAAGTATATAGAATTAGGGAGCTGGTAGATGGTCCCTGAAACTTACCTAGCTTTAGGGCAAGGGTGGGCAATTATTTCAGCTGGCGGGCCATTTAATTTTGGGGACCTGATGAAGGCCACATTCATCTGTCACTCCTTCTGTCACTCGCTCTCTTGCATGGGTGGCAGCATTAGAACCTGTTGGCAGTGTCCCCACTGATGCCTGCCCAGCATGGCAGCAGCTCCTACCTGGGCCCATGGCTGAGCATTGGGGTGCCTGGTAAACTTCAGCTTCAGCCAGGTTTGGAGCAGCAGGAGAGACAGACAGCTGCCTGCCCAGTGCAAAAGCAGCTCCTGCCTCTGGGTCCGTGGCTGACACTGGATTGGGTGTAGTGAAGCTCTGTTCCTCTGCACTATTTTGTCTCCCTTTCCTAGTTATGAGTCACCATCCAAAATACTGTATTCGGTATGAATGGTGTGTGCGCTCAGTAGCAGGTAAGATGACAGTTGCTTCTAGTATATTCTGCCAGCACAGTTCTCTTGCAGTCATGGGAAAGAGCAGAGGAACAGCCTTTCCAAGTCGGCCTTGTACTATGTAGCTTTCTGTTGATTTTTCCAGCATAATGTGGAATGGATAACCTTATTTTTCGTCCACATTTTATGAATTCGGAAATGTATTTATAAATGCTACACCTGTATTTCTTTTCTAAGCCTCTTGGCAAGTAATGGAAAGACTAATTTTTTTAAAAGGACATTT